GGTCTCTTTTGATGTCACATCACTCTTTACGTGCATTCCTGTTGATGATGCAGTAGAGGTGGTCAGTTTAAGATTAAAATCAGACACCACTCTGAGCAGCAGGACCACGCTTTCCACAGAACAACTGTGTCAACTCTTGAAACTGTGCCTGCAGTCAACCTACTTCACATATGGGGAGCAATATTATAGGCAGAAACATGGGTGTGCTATGGGGTCTCCAGTTTCTCCTATTGTTGCCAACCTGTACATGGAGGAGGTAGAAAAGAGAGCCTTGACGTCCTTTTCAGGGACACCACCAAGTCATTGGTTCAGGTATGTTGACGACACCTGGGTTAAAATTAAATCTCAGGAAGTCCAACATTTTACTGACCACATCAACGCTGTGGATAAATACATCAAGTTCACACGAGAAGATGTAAAAAATGGCAAGTTGGCTTTCTTGGACTGTGGGGTCTCAGTCTCTGATAGAGGACATTTGCAAACCGAGGTGTACCGCAAACCCACCCACACAGACCAGTATTTGCAGTTTGACTCCCATCACCCTTTGGAGCACAAGTTAGGAGTCATCAGGACTCTGTATTACAGAGCAGACAGCATCCCCACTAACTCGGGAGCCAGGCAGAAGGAGAAATCCTACACAAAAAAGGCTCTAGAGCAATGTGGATATCCTAACTGGGCCTTCCTGAAAGCAGAGAAGAAATACAAACAGGACTCCAGTCAGCCATCAGGTGAAAAGGAGGAACCCAGACCAGTGGTCATTCCGTATGTTGAGGGAGTATCAGAGAAACTGAGACGTTTATTTTCTAAACATAACGTCCCAGTGGCTTTTAAACCCCAAAATACATTACGGCAAAGACTGGTTCATCCCAAAGATCCAGTCCCCCGGCACAAACAGAGTGATATTGTGTATGCTGTTCAGTGTCAGGAGGGCTGTGATCAGTCTTACATCGGGGAAACTAAACAGCCACTGGCCAAAAGGATGGCCCAGCACAGAAGATCAACATCATCAGGCAAGGACTCTGCGGTCTACACTCATCTCCAGGCCAGCGGTCACTCTTTTTTTTTTTTAGCTCAGTTTAAGTATAGAAACATTGTGAAGTGTTTCAATGAACTTATCATCATCGCTCAATTTTATTTATTTTTTTAAAGAAAGAGAAGAAAGAAGAATAAATAAATAAATAAAAGAGAAATAGATAAAACGAGAGACCACCACGACAAAACAACATGCACAGCACAATGCCACCCACAATATCACCATGAAACATTCGACATCGCACAAGGAATCATCTAGCTTCCACCACTACCCAACCTAGCGTGTATCTGTCAAAGCACCTGAATCCAAACACCCGCGCAAGCACGCCTGCCACCACCTGATTTCTCCAAAAGAATGCCCAATAGTGGACGCGGGGGCCCACAGACCCGCCCCTCCAGGACACAATGGCAACATAGGGAGGACCGGAGCCACAGACACACAGCGGCCCACAGGCCTGGAGCCCCAGAAGTCTCCCAACAGGGAGAACCGCACCCCCCCAGAGAGGAGCAGAGGAAAGAACCGAGTGACCCCAGCCACCACAATGCAGAGCCTACAGGAAGCTGCAACGACGAGCCCACAGGTCCGGCCGGCAACCCATGCCCCCCCCCCCCCCCCCCCCCCCCCCCC